AAGGGTCTAGCTTCAGCTGTCCGAAACATGTGTTGTCCCGTTTGAGAATGTCGGCAGCCCTATCTGAGTCTGCTACACATCCTGAGCCGTACTCCAGTGGTAGGTTGTGACCTGACTTTTACGTCTGTGTAGGAGTCGGGGCACACCAGGTTCCTCCATAGAGTCTCGCAGGTCTCCTTGATGGTAGTTGAAAAGGTGGGTTAGCGCGAACCCAAACCAAAACGGCTCTCATGAGGGATATATAGAGTATAGACGGAGGGCCCTCCATCTCCGAACCATGTTCTCCAGGTATGTGCTCAGAGGAGTAGGGGCAATCCTGCCATCTTATCCCAAGATTGTAATGACCAGGGAACACAAGACAACCTGGGTTTCCGGTCTTACCATGCGATCCATGCGTATGGTGTACTTTCAGACTGGGTAGTAGGCCTTTCCTAGTCTTGTTACCCGAGCAAGGCAGTGCCTGTATGCTCCATGAAGGTCTCCGTATCTCATGTCATCTTGATATGGGAAAAACTGTCTGCGCAGTTTGTTCACAATGGTCCGGATATCCAAAACAGAATGCAATTCTCTGTTTTATATAGCGCAGAATATACCAAAACCTGCACTCTTGTAATACCTGAGGCTCATTCGTTAGCCATACCGTCTCCAGGAGTGTGTGTAAATAAGTGGGAGTCTCCCTCGTTATACCTCTGTGAGTATTTCTCACGTGTGGTACAGTGGTCCGGATCCAGTAGATCCATTACAGGAGATAAAATAGAGGGATCCAGTCTAAATATGTATATCCTGCATGATCAGGCAGCCCTCTATAACGAAATCAGTAGCACGTTCGTTAGATCTAATTGAATGCAGGAGGGACGCCCCTCTATGTAGTCATCGAGGTCTTGTACAGGTACAAGCCTGTGTGATGAACAAATGGACGGCACCATTGGGCGTTGAGTGTATGAGAGAGCCGCGCTCTCTAATAATGTGACCGAATTCCGTGTCAGTGTCTGGCTGATAGCCTGAGCGGGCCGTACCCATTAATAACCAAACAGTAGAGTCTACATCCGTGACAGGTTCTCTCTATGAGAATGTGTCACTCCAAACATGTCCTCTGTATCCAGCTCAGTATCGGGCTGAGGTTGAGGGAGGGCCACGCCCTCTAATAACAAATCAGTGTCTTGTTCTGTATATGAGAGGGGTTTGCTCTCTGTTCCTGAAAATAAAATATAATTCTCGGATCGAGGTGATGGAGGGCCGCACCCTCTTGTGATCCAAACTAGACTCAAGGGGTACACCAATTACTAATATCAGCATAAGACTGAGGTCCTTAGGTGGGTCTCTCCCCGACCACGAGACCTCAGGTGAATGGTTCACCTGAAAAGGAATCAACTGGTAGTAAACCAGACCGATGGCAGATGGGATAGTATACAACCTCGGGCCATGTCCATTCTTAATAACAGAAAGGGATGGTGCGAAAATGCAACCTTCAGAAACAATGATGGAAACTACCAACGGACTGCCCGGATCCCGTGCGCGTGGGGTCCAGGATGACCGTCGGTAGCCTGAGGAAAGCTCGAGACGTTCTCCGCAATCCACGAGCGCCCGGGAGGTCGGAGGACATCAAGTCAGGCCTCTCAATGACCTGAGCGATAGGACAAGGAAGGCACGAAAACAAAAACAATAATAAATGTAGATAAGGGTAAATACGTAAATTCTAACTCGGATAGAAGGCAAATAGCAGACTGGAAGGCAAGTCAAGTAAGCCCCACTGAACAGGGCCAGGAGCTAACCTTACACAGGAATAACTACCGATATCTAGATGGATATCGGGAGGCAGCTAGAGGGTTAGTTGTTAAAGACAAGGAAACACCGTGTCCCCCTGTAGGCGTCTGAGTACCGGTCCCTGCCTGTGCGAAATTCTCCTTGGAGATGTGCCGTTGCCAGGCTGGTGTAAACCGTGGATGCGTGCCGGGGTCTTCATAAGAAACCTTGCCCTTCAGGCATGAGATTTAGGGCCTTCACACTTCCCACCATACTCAGGTGGCCGTAAACTGTATGGCAATGGTGCTTGCCTGGACACCTGCCTATCTCCATGTCACTAGTGGGTACTGGGTTTTCCTCAGGGATATTCCCCCAGGCCTGCGGCCAAAAAGGGGTTCGGCACCGATAGAGCAGGCCCGTCAGAAGGGCACAGGCCCAGCAGGCCAAACGAATGGGCACAGAAAAGTTGGCCAATCAAATAGGCACATACATAGCAGGTCATTCAAATAGGCACAGACATAGCAGGCCAATCAAAGGGGCACAGACATAGCAGGCCAATCAATGGGGCACAGACATAGCAGGCCAATCAAAGGGGCACAGACAGAGCAGGCCCGTGATAGCGTTCCAACAGCCGTAGGGCCCATCTGCGTGTGTAGAGTCCACTATATATATATATATATGTATATATATATATATGTGCGTAATCAAACAGGGAAACCTTGGGTTAAATAATTTCAATATGTAAAACCCACTAGCAGGGTAGTAATGTGACTATAACAGTATTTTTACATAATACCTCTGGATTAAGTTGCTATAATGTCTCCAGTCTAATATCACAGATGTTACAGCTACTAGTGATGAAGTGCTATACCACTATACAGGGAACTGGCAGACTTTAATGTTTGGCCAAAGGCAGAAAACCAAACTGCAGGCATCTCAGAGCAGTACAGGGTATAATGCCTAAAGCCTATTCTCCAGCCCAGCAAAATATTTATATAAAATTATATTAATGTGGAGTCATCTTGGGTTATAGATTAACCCTGAGCAGGGTGAAGGGCCCTCCTCTGATATAAAAAAACTCCGTCCATGATCGGAATCCGGCCTTGATTGACAGAGGGGAGGAAAGCCCCTCAAACAGACCTCCAACCAGTTAGGAACAAACGGGGGAAGGGGCTGCGAGCGGTCGCACCCTCCCCCGCCCGGTCGGACACAAGCGGCCACATGGGAAAGGAGATCCTGGTGCTCGTCTCGAGCTCCCCTGCGACCGGAAAAAACACACACAGGACCGCCGAAGATGAACTCTGCGTTCCCGGAGCTCGGGGATCGAAGGAGGCAGATGCAGTCACACAGACACCGCCAGACATAAGGACAAAGGTGGAACAAAAAATATAACAACGAACATACACAAAGTTAGGAGACAGACAGGGGGGACAAGGCCAAGGGGATAGAGGAGACAGGAGGACCCCAAAGACCCCCCCAGAAATCCAAACTAAATATGTATATAACAGTGATAGCCTGAAGTTACAAGTAAAAATAAAGTCCCACAGGGGTTTTAACAAAACTGCATGTGTAAGGAAAATTTACACATGGCCAAGATAATACTGCATATAAAATGAATCCCACAAGGCCTAAATAAAAAATTCTGAAAAGATATTCAATATATAAGCATAAAAAATCCCACAATGGAAAATAAAATACTGAGTATGAAGAAATAAATCCCACAAGGAACATAACAATAAAAATAAAATCCTACAAGGATTATAACAAAACTGTATTAAACGAAAAAAATCCCACAAGGATTATAACAATACTGCATTATAAAAATAAAATCCCACAAGGATTATAACAAAACTGCATTATAAAAATAAAATCCCACATGGATTATAACAATACTGCATTATAAAAATAAAATCCCACATGGATTATAACAATACTGCATTATAAAAATAAAATCCCACATGGATTATAACAATACTGCATTTATAAGGCTAAAATACTGAATATAAGCAATAAAATCCCAAAGCCACCCACTAAAAGCATGAGGCAGTGGTACTCTGACCTGTACTGACTGCAGAGCAGCAAAGAAAGAGAGTTTTATAGTACCTAACTTTTTTCTGATTGGTTGTTTTTCTGTGCTGCTGTAGAGTTCTAGTAAAGAGAGACTTAAGCAAATACGAAGCCTCCTGTCATGTCATGTTATAAAATTTGAGGTCCTCCTTACCTTTTCAGAAACAACATATACTCTCAAATTAAAACACAGTTGCACGCAATGTTGATGGTGAACAGATCAAAACACTGACAGAATCCATGGATGGCAGGCTTTTGAGTGTCCTTGCAAAGAAAGGTGGCTATATTGGTCACTGATTTGTTTTTTTGTTTGTTTTTGAATGTCAGAAATGTATATTTGTGAATGTTGAGATGTTATATTGGTTTCACTGGTAATAATAAATAATTGAAATGGGTATATATTTGTTTTTTGTTAAGTTGCCTAATAATTATGCACAGTAATAGTCACCTGCACACACAGATATCCCCCTAACATAGCTAAAACTAAAAAAACTAAAAACTACTTCCAAAAATATTCAGCTTTGATATTAATGAGTTTTTTGGGTTCATTGAGAACATGGTTGTTGTTCAATAATAAAATTAATCCTCAAAAATACAACTTGCCTAATAATTCTGCACTCCCTGTAGAAAAATCGCTTACGATAAATCATATTTCACAAATAAGAAAAAAAAGCAATGTGTGAAAATTGGTTAAACAAATTGTCAACTATGTAAGATCTACCCTGAACATGATGTTAAAAGATACTTGATATTCTGATATTTGTAAAAGTTTTATACTTGGAACCCGCCAGTATGAATGTAGTACCTTTATATGTAATGTGAATCATAATGTATTTGTGTTTGAGTGATTGAATATTTAAATGTAAACTTAGATAAATTGTATTTGTTAAATAATTTAAATAAAGAAATATTGAAATAAAAAATAAATAAAAAATATATAGATAATCTTAATAAAAACAGCACATTTTTGACCATTCAGATCTTTATGGCCATGAAGTTATTTATCTCAAGAACGAGAAAGAAAAAACAAGAAATCCCTCTGACCTTCATATTGAATCTAATAGACTTCCAATGTAAGATGGAAAAAGGATATTTTTGATACTTCCAACCCTGGCTGAGTTCGCATCCGGATAGGTTTAAAGTCTAATTCCATAATTTTCGTATGGTTTCTAATATATGGGGATGGAAGATACACCTGGTCGCGCTGACCTGTCCTGTTTTTTGTTTTTTTGTTTCTTAACAATTTTTTTCACATATGGGGGACATAGAACAAGATGGTTAATAGTTAATTGACAGTTTTAAAATCATTTACATGTTCTGTTTGATGCACTTTATTTATGTGCATATGTAACGGCACCCTCAGGCATAAAAGGGATAAACCGCCGTTTAGTAGATCTTCCCCTTCCAGAGACACAGGCAGCTACTGTAGACACCAATCCACCGAACCGGAGAAGCATATGAATGCTCTCAAACATACGAATGCTGTAGACAGCTGAATAGGAAAAACCATACGAATAGGTTTACACTCCTAGCAGTCAAACTGGAACAGCATA